CAAGCAGGCGCACGGGCGTGTGCATGTCTGAGCACGCCTGCGTGCACATTTGTGGGTGTGGGCACGTGTGTGCATGTGCAAACCCTCAGCTCCTCCTGTTTGCTCTCTGGGCAGACCCCGAGCCGTCTGCTACCTCCCTGGCCCGTCGGCACCTGCTCCAGCCTGTCCCGCCTTTGGAGTGTTTTATGTCAGCCACCCTATTTTTCATTTTTAGGATTTGCCATTTTCACGTCTCGCCACTCCTGTTCTGTATCCGCCGGTTTGATTTCATGATTTTATTTGAATGAGTGCGGTTTCTGGGGCACCTGGGGGCTCAGTCGGTTAAGCATCTGAGTCTTGGTTTCAGATCAGGTCATGACCTCACGGTTCGTGCGTTTGAGCCCTGCATCCAGCTGTGCTCACAGTGTGGAGCCTCCCTGGGATTCCTTCTCTCTCTCTCTCTCTCTCTCTGTCCTTCCCGGCTTGCACGGTTGTGTGTTCTCTTTCAAAATAAACAAACACTTTTTTAAAAAAACTGAATGAGTGTGGATTCTTCGCTTATTTCTTTGAGCATCACTGATTACCTGGGCATTTTGATTAGACGCTTCCATAAACTTAACTCCAACGGGAATAAACTCATGTTCTGCACATGGATTTTGTTGACTCTTTTTTTTTTAATTGGGATGAAATCCATACAACATAAAATTAACCATCTTAAAATGTGTAATTCAGTACCATTTCATAGATTCTCAGAGTTGTGCTACCATGGTCGCTTCTTAACATACAAAGTCTTGTATTTTTACATTGGGTTTGCTGACGTATTTTCAGTAGTTTCTCTTTGTTGCTTTGTTACTGGGGTTTCGCTTCTGCTTTTTTGGGTTTGGGTGTGTTTTTGTTTTTGTTTTGCCTCTCCCTCCCTGTCTAGACTTCTGTGTTTGCGGGAGCCTGTAGCCAGCCTGAGCCCAGGCCTCCTGCAGAGTCGGGGGCCAGCCCGTGGGGGTGGCGGCACAACCTTGGCCCTCTCCCATCTCTCGTCTCTGCCCCTCCCAGGAGTCCCTGGGGGGAGGGGAGGCCAGCAGCAGCATGCGCCCAGCCCCCTCTGCGCAGCCCGGCCCAGCCCCTTCCTTCACTCATGGGCCTGGGCCCTGGGAGCCGGGCCCCCAGAGGATGAGGGCTGGCCCGCCGAGCTTCCCCCACAGCCCACAGGGCTCGGCTCCAGCCCTGCTCGCGTCCCTCCGAGATCACCCGGCCTCCAGTCTGCAGAGAGGCTGGTCCTGCCCCCCGAGCCCCACAGCCATCGCCATGCCCCGCGGCGGGCAGAGGGTAGGCGTGAGCGCACAGGGCCACCTTGCCCCAAACTCACACCTGTTTCACTGGGGACTGGCTTTTGCTCTGGTAGAGCAAGGCCCTCCGGGCTGGGCGCCGCGCTGGGCTGCCGTGACGGAGGCTTCGGCCAGCAGTGTGCCCCGAGCACTCCCCACGCCGACCCTTTGCAGACGCCGGACACGGGGACCCACGTGCACATCCCAGGAGAGGAGGCTTGGTGTCTGAGGGCTGGGGACCACCCCGTCTGTGTGAAGCAGGTGCGCCGGGCGCCCAGGGGGCAGCAGCGAGCCCAGCCGCCCGCCCTCCGGGCAGCACTTCCACACCCGCAGAGGATGCGCCCGTGACCCCTTGTCCCCGTTTAGGGAACACTCCGTCCCCGAACAAGCCCAGGGAGCCTGCAGGGCACTTGCTGCACTTGCTGAGACCACGAGGGGACCCTCCAGACAGCGTCCTCTCTGGCATCCGCCAAGACCCATGCCAGACTTTGGGGAGACCTGGAAAACAGTTTGGAACAAGATATAGGAAATGAATTCTATGAAAGCCAATTAACAAAATGACCTTAACTGACCTGGAGATCAATTCTTTACGTGATCCGTTTATCCATAACTGCAGACACATTTTCAACCTGGTCTGGGCAGTTAGCTGCAGCCCTTTGCCAACACAGGCAGAGCAGGGGCTCAAAATTCTGGCCAAATGCCTTGGCCATGACCAAGGGCACATTCAGAAGAAAAGACAGTGGGCCAAGCTGGACCGGTGCATATTGGCAAATGTGGCTGCCGTACGTCAGCCGGGAAGAAGGTTGTGGGGATGTTCTCAGTTACTCACCAAGAAGATCTCCCGGGCCCTGGCTCTGGGCAAATGGGCTTCAGCTGAGGGGTGTAACTCTGAAGAAGCAGCAGGGCGCAGGGCTCAAGAGTGCTGCGGGTCCCAGCAGCGCCACCTCTGCCCGCTGTGTGGCCTCGGGCCAGTGACTCTCCCTCTCTGTGACTCAGTTCCCCCCATGGGATGGTTGTAAGGATTCGGTGAGCTCACACCGCCCAGGAAGTGCCTTCGCAGGTCAGTAACGCTCCCCGTGGCTGAGTCCCTGTTCCTTCTGCCCCCCCATCCCCCCCCCCAGCCTCCACCACGTCAGGGCCTGGGCCGGGACACCCCGAAGCCCCCACGGGGCCCTGGGGAAGGGACAGGCACACAGGCCCTCCCGGAGCCCCCGGAGCAGCTCCCTCCTCCCTCCTCCCTGCCTGCTCCTACACGGCCCTTCTGTCCCCTCCCCTCCCCCAACACCCCCTCCTTCCCCCCCCAACCTGCACTCCAGGCTGCCCCACCCAGGAGTCCCTCCCTCCCTCCTCCTCCCTCGTCCACCGCTATCAACTGCAGTGTTTCCCCAGCACTATCCGTGTACATTGTACACACACAGCAGGCTTTGCACACGGTACCTGAGCGCCTGGCTCTGTGCGCACGTACACTTGGGTTCACGCATCCTACAGGCCTCTGTCCTTCTTACTTTGGATACATTTCAAAGGAAATCCTTGTAGCCGGCTTTTGCGAGAGAAAAAGCAATAAGCAATCTAAACGACGGTCAATAGGGGAGGCCGCGCGTCACCAGGGACGCTGGGTGCTGCCCGCCGGGTGGGGGGGTTCCCAGGACAGACGGGCAAGCGGGCGAAGAGAAGTCGCACGTGTGCTGGCACCTGCCCAGCTTGTGCTCTGCGGGCCGGTCCTCGGAGGGGTCTCCAGGACGGAGCCCAGATGCCTGGGGGTGGGGGCAGGGAGGCAGCCTCTGCAGAGACCCTCCCTCTTGCCCCCTGGGGCCCCTCCAAGTAACGCGCCTGCACCCAAGTTCAGGGGACCCCAAACTAAGATGGGTCTCCTGCCTGAGACCATGATGGAGAGGTCCTAAACGTGGGTCACCGTCATGGCTGTGCTGCTCGGGAAAGTCCCTAAAACTCACCAACTTCACACTTAAAACAGGTGGATTTTATGGGATATAAATTCTACCTCCTAAAGGTGTTTTGAACAAAAGTTCCACATTAGGCCAAGGGAAGTTCACGAGGTGGGGCGGCCCGTGGGGGGGGGGGGCTCTGCCCCGTGCAGTGACCCGCCCGCAGTCCCCTGGCTACCACCCTGCAGCCGCGGGGCTCTCCTGGCCCAAGTTCACTCCTGCAGCTCAAACAAGAAAAACCTAAACAAACAAATGCGGCCGAGGCGCCCGGGCCGCACGCTTTGCTCCCGGCTGCAGCGGAACATTCTGTCTTGGAGCCCCCGCGGCTCCCTGCGCAGGGAGGTGGCCGGCCGCCAGCACCCACAGCTGCCAGCGCCACCCCGCGGGCCCCAGGCTCCTGTGAGGGCCCGTGACCCCAGGAGCACCTCCGTGAAGGGGCCCGGCCGGGCAGGCCAGGTGGCTTGGCGCCCCTCCCGCGATGCCCCTCGCCCTGCTCGCGTCCCGGACGAGCTGGTGCCCCGTCCCGTCGGCTGCTCGGGCCCCAGCCTCTCCTGGCCTCTGCCGGCCCGGCCCAGCGCCCCTCCACCCGCAAGGGGGGTTCCCAGGACGGATGGGCAAGCGGGCGAAGAGGAGTCCCACGTGTGCCGGCACCCGCCCCGGCCGGTCACGTGCTGCCCGCTGCCCACCCCAGCGGGAAGACTAAGAGGGGGACGGCCAGTCCCAGACGGGCATGGCGAACACGGCCGCCCGCCCGGCACCCTCTTACTGTCCGATGCTTCACTTATCAGACTCGGACGGAAATACGGGAACGTGGGAGCAGTTTTCTCGGCCAGCCGAGGCGTGACCACGGGCGAACGCGACCCCCGTCAAACCGCTAAAACTGCAGGTACTGGCTCAGCACCAGCGGACCCTGGCGGACACCTGGAACTTCTCGCTCGGCAGACGATACGCAAATGCAAGTGTCACCCAAATGGGGGCCACAGCTGCGCCCGAGCAGGTTCTCAGGCATCAGTCTGGCCTCTCCTTTGCTGCTGATCCGCACTGGTCCTCAGACCTTCCTAGCTTGTGACTCTGCTCCTTTCAAAGTTTTCCTGGAATTGAGGTGGTATTAGGCTGCCTTCCGGGGGTCACATGGGACCCGAGCCGAACACTAATGGTGACGATGGGACGGGATAGCCACCTGTTGACTGGTTTTTGACTTTTCATTAGGAAATCATCAAACATATACTAACGTGTTAGGTAGAAGAGTCCATCACCCCCACAGCCGTTGTTGACAGTGACCAACGACTGCCAGCCAGTGTCTCCATGTCTACACCCTGCCACGCCGGCCAGTGGCTCCATGTCTACACCCCCCACGTCAGCCAGTGGCTCCTTGTCCACACCCCGCCACGCCGGCCAGTGGCTCCTCACGCACACCCCGCCACACCAGCCAGTGGCTCCTCACGGACACCCCACCACGCCAGCCAGTGGCTCCATGTCTACACCCCACCATGTCGGTCAGTAGCTCTTCATCCACACCCCACCCACAGCCCAGCTTTACTCTCAAGTAAATCCCCGACATCAGACCGCTCCCACCATGGGGCCGCAGAAGCATCATAAAGACACTGTTTATAAAGGAACCATCGCACCGTCATTACACACACGGAAAGGAGAAGAATGCTCCCTTAGTACCATCAGGGTTCAAATCCCGCCCCCCCCACCCCCACCCCGGCACGCAAATGCTTTGGGACAGCTTATGTGTGCTGATACTCTGGGCTTATCACAGTCAGGCCTGAACCAGCTCGGGTGCTGCTCTGGTTGCCATGTCTCAGGTGGAGGTGGACGAGGGACTCTCGAGGTGGAGCCAGAACATCCCTCTGTCCTCTGAGCTTCTGGAAGCTTCTGGAAGCCAGCGGTCCCACCGGGAGCTCGCATCTCTTTCCGCTGGGCCGGAGGGGCACTGTGCCGTCCTGTGGTGCACGGTGTCTGGTGTCCCTCTCCCTGCGATTAGCCGATGGGGGTCTGGATGTGGTCGGCGTGTCCCACCCGCGGTGAGGGCCCCCGCGGGCTGGCCACCACCTCACCCCCACAGCCATTAGGGCCATCGGCCACATCTGTTATTGCAGTAGAAGCAGCAAAATGGCAATATCTTAATTCCAGGATTCATTCTTCATTTGTTAGCCGACTTACCGACTTTGTTTGCCGGGAAAGGCAGGATAAATAGTTGTTCCGTCACCTTATCGGTTTCTAAAGAATGAGTCGGTTTCCCAGCATCCTACAGAGGTGAAGAGCGAAGTAATTAACTGAAAGGTAAATACACAGGATGGCAGCACGGGGCATGGGCCGTGCACGGGGAAACAAGGCAGAATGAAGACCGTGAGCTGCGGAAGGCGCAGGGGACAGGAAACCTCACCTCAACATGCTGGAATGAGACCAAATGAAGTGAGGACATGAGCCTTGTGGGAATCGGGGGGAAAGCCTTCCGGTAAAGGGAGTGTCTTCTCCAGAAAAGCCTTTTCCACAGAAAAGCGTGTGGGCCCACGCACTTCCTCGAACGACGGGGCCCCTCCTGCCCAAGGGGGACAAGCAGATGGAGGGGGCACACAGGAGGCATGGTGCACACAGCTCCCCCACACACGGGGAGACGTCAGAAGCTGGAGTGGGGGGCGGGGGGGGGTGCATGACGTCCCTGGGGAAGCAGGGTGGGATAGAAAGATCTAATGGAGGGTGAGCAAAGAGGGACACGTGGACAGGCCACCAGGCCGCAGGAAGGGAGCCAGACTGAGGACCAGAGCCCACGACCCGACGAGCCCTTTCGGCCAGGCCGTTAGGAGCCGCCAGGCAGGGCGCAGGGAGTGGGCGGAGTGGGGGTGAGCAGCTGAGTGCGGCCAGGCTGGGGCTGCCGTCGGGCAAGGAATTGAAGCGTGAGGTTTCCCAGGCAAGTCCAGCGGAGGGAGGGGGACAAGGAGTTTCCAGACAGCACGACGGTGATTAGAGTGAGGCCGCCCCTGAACTGCGGGGAGGAGGGGCTCAGGTGCCCAGAGAGGCCAGCAGGAGGGGCGGGTGCCCGGGCTCCTGGGGACGGCGGCGCTGGGGCGAATGTCAGCAGGGATGCCTAGGTGACTCGGACTGGAGGACCGAGCAGGGGCCGGCTCCGGGAAGGAAGGGGTGCCAGAGGCCTGGGGGCGCTCTGGGGCGGCTCCGCAGGGCAGGGGACAGGAAGGGAGCTGGTGGCGGCGGAGTCCCCTGGGAGGGCCACTGAGCCGTCCGCCCCGAGCCCGTCCAGTGCTGCCGGCCGCAGGTCCTGACAGGCCAGCCGGGGCGGGGCAGCGCTGGCAGGCGACAGGGACCAGCTTGACAAAAGTCCCTAAAACGAGGTGGCTTTCACGGGAACAACAGCTGCCGCTCCGCGCTCCTCCCGGGGACCTGAGCCCCTGCTGTCCCTGCGTAGAGAAGACTCCGGGGTTCGTGGTGCGCAGGGGGAGCCCGGGTCGTCTGAGCCGCAGGCACCCCTCCAGCGGAGGCCAGGCCCGGGGCACTCCTGGGGCGTCTGAGCCCGTGCCAGCCCCCCGCCCGCCCCCCACGGTCAGCGTGTGTCACTCAGACAGGAGGCGGGGCGGTCGGAGCCGGTCTGGAGGGAGCGCCAGGACGGATGCAGGGGCCCTCGGGCACCCCCTGGGTCTTCCTCTGGGCGCACTCAGCAGGCGTGTCCTGGCTGTGGCCCAGCAGGGTTGCGGCGGACGAGGCCGGCGGTCTGGAGGGGCCTGTGGAATGCCTCCGGCTCTGCAGTCCTGAGGACGACTTGTGTCTGCACGTGTGGTCGGCCGCGACCAGGGGAGGCGGTGAAGGGCGCTGCCTCCTGGGTGTGGCCGCCAGGCCTCCTGTCCCCGCCGGGGGAGGGGCCGTCCTGGGGACGTGGGTGGCATCTGCTGCTGTGGACCTGGCACAATCTGCAAGGTGCGGCCGGCAGTGACCCCGGCGGAGGTAGGGGGCGAGCCGGGTGACAGTCCCCGTTTCTGCAGAAGGCTCCGACCCGCCCGGCTGCCTAGGAGGCAGACGGACACCCGCAGGCCAGCGCCCGCTTGGCGGCCCTCCGCGCCCTCCTCCGTGTGACAGCGGCACTCACGAGCAGGCTCTCGGGGGCCTCGGGGACGGCTCGGTGCGGGGGCTGACTGCTCTCGCAGGAGGAGACCTTGCTACAAGACGACGTCCGTCTGGCCTGTCCCAGCCTCCCCCACATGACCTGACCGGGACGCGGGCGGGACCCCTCGAGGCGGGGGGCCCTCTAGGCGGGCTGGGTCACACCCCACTCGAGGCCGAGGCCAGCGTTGTCTCCGCCAACAGACAGGACCTCTGGAATCCCTTCAGACCTGCCACTGCTTCCCTCGGTTGGGGCTCAGCTACTGAAATCCAGAAACTTCTCTGCAAGCCACTCCCAGTACAACACAAGCCTCACTTCCCCCCTGGATGGGCCTCCAGAGAGTGGGGCCACGTGGGGGTGCCAGGGCTGTCCGTACCCCTCCCACACACGTGTGCACACATGCATACAAGTACACACTCATGCACACACCACACACACGCATACACGGACACATGAACACACACGGGTGTGCACACATGAGGAAGTGCTCACTCACTTGTGCACACACCTCACGCATCCACACATGGACACATGAACACCCTCACACACGGGCGCACACACACGTGGAAGTACACACTCGTGTATATACCACACACATCCACACATGGACACACGAACACACGTGTGCACACACATGCACACACACACACACACACACAGGGCAGCTTCCCAGTCATCCCCCGCTGTCCCCTCAGCAAGAGCCCAGGCTCTTGCTCGCTGTGTGTGGGGACAGCCCGCCTGGCCTCAGGATCCTGAGGAGCCCCAGCCCCACCTACAGTCCGGGCTGCAGCCACGTGGCCGCGGGAGTGGGGGAGCAAACAGGTGGGGGAGTCCCGGCTGCGCCCCCCACCCCAGGAAGGCAGGCGCCCAGTGCTGAGTGGGGCCTGTGAGCAGCGGGCAGGCCAGGCTCCTCGCCGGCCGGGAATTCTGGAACTCGGGGCCGCTCACCCTGAGAGGTGGGGCGGCCGGTGCGGGCGGTGGGCAGAGCGGACGGCAGGCCTGGCTGCTCCCCTCCCGAGGCCCCGACGTCCCAGGCCAGCCCACTGGGGGCTGGAGCCCTGGTGCGAGGCCGATGCCCCGCTCGCGTGGCTCTGGGACCCGCCTTGGGCTCCCTGGGACAGAAGGGCACCCGCCGCCACCTGGCCTCCAGGCTCCCCTACTGCATGAACATTGGTGGGAGACATAAGCGCCCCCCGCCAGGATGCCCACGCCTCTTCTGGATGATGACGACCCCTCGCCCCAGCCCTGCCTCCCCACCCCCAGCGTGGCCCCCGGACCCTCCTTCCCCCTCCGGTGCTGCGGCTGCGCCCAGGGCAGACATGGTGGGGATCGGAGCAAAGCCCGGACTGGGCGCCACAACCGCGCCCGGGGCTGTGAGGCGGCATCACGGGAGCAGGGCCGCTCAGCCACAGGGCCCGCCACGGGCACACCGACCTGCCACACGGGGGGACGCGGCCCTGGCGGGCGGTGCTCCCCTCGGAAGCAACCGTGGCTCTAGGCCGTCACAGACACCCGTCTGGGGAGAGAGCCCCTGGGAGACGGGTCACGTGGGTGGACGCGGTGCCAGGCCGCTCGGAGGCGCTCAGGGTGCGCGGGCAGACCGGCCCACTCTGGCCGCTAGCCAGCTGCTGTCTAGAGCCTCTGGGGGCGCTGGCCGTGCACCGAGACGCGGGAGGGAGGCCAGCCGCTCAGGACTCCTTTCCAGGTCCCCGTGGACCCCGTCATCCCTCACGCTGGAGCCCAGTGCTGTGAGGCCCATGTCGAACACCATTCTCCCGGTGACGCCCAGAAGCCAACAAGAAACGGATGCCCCATTTCACCACTTTTGCTCGACAGTGCAGGGCGCCCTCGCCGGAGCAGCGAGCCAAGGCAGAGAGGCAGGAGGCAGGCACACCCAACAGGGAAGGCCATGAACTCTGTGCACACAGGACACGATCTCACACGTGGAAAACCCTCGAGACTGCGCGCGCACACACTCACACGCAGAAAACCACCACCGTCCGAACCAATAAACGAATTCAACAGATTTGTCGCGGATACAGAATCAGCACACAGAAGTCTGTCAGGCTTCTGTACACGGTCCGGAAAGGAACCTAAGAAAAGAATTCTGTTTACAACAGCAGCACAAATCCACCGAACCCCCAGGAATAAACGTGGTCAAGGAGAGCGCTTGCACGCGGAAATCCACTGTGGGCTGTGTGTCCACGTGGCTGGCCGTGGAGCCCAGGTGCCCAGTTCAACATTATTCTGGAACTCTCTGTGACTGAATGGGTAAACAAAGTGTGTGTATACGTATGCCTCGGTCCGTCTGGGCTGCCATAGGCCGGGTGGGTTATAAACAACAGACGTGCGTCTCACAGGGCTGGGGGCTGGGGGTCCACAAGCCGGGCGCCACCACATTCTGTGTGTGGGGAGGCCCCTTCTCTGTGTCCTCATGTTGGGGGGGAGGGACGGGGCTCCTGATAAGGGCACCGATCCCATCACGCCCCTCCCCCCATTAGGAGCTAATCACTTCCCAAAGGCCCCCCCTCAGTAACATCACACTGCGGGGTAGGAATTTAACAGAGTTTTGTAGGGATGCAGACGTCCCATCTACAGGTGTGAGGGAGGGCAGTCTGACACCTGCGGCCGCATGGATGAGCCCGGAGAACGTCACGCTGAGGGACACAAGGGCTTATGTCACAGGAGGTCAAAGGCCACGTGATCGCACTTATCTGAGGTCCCTGGGGCAGTCACATCCAGAGGCAGGAAGTGGGACGGTGGGGGCTGGGGAGGAGATGGCAAGTCAGCTCTAATGGGGACAGAGCTTCAGTCTGGGAGGATGGAAAGTTCTGGACACGGACGGCGTGGATGGCTGCACAACAACATGAGGGGCCTCAATGCCACGGACACGGACACTTAGAAATGGTTATGGTGGTAAATTTTGTGTTATTGTGTTTTACCAAATTAAAACCGGCCGAGCAGGCTGGGGAGAACTACGGGCGTCACAGGAAGTGCAGGACCGTGACAGCTGTGGCCCGTGTGTCCCCGTGTGCCCGTGTGTCCACGTGTGCCCGTGTGTCCCCGTGTGCCCATGTGTCCCCGTGTGCCGAACGTGCCTGCATGTGCGGTGTGTGCTGAGTGCCCGCCTGTGCCCACGTGCTGTGTGTCCTCGTGTGTGCCCTCTTGTGACCATGTACACCTGTCTGTACATGCCTGTGCCTATATGTGTCCTGGGTGCCCGTGGGCGCCCACGTATGCCATGTCTGCCTGCGTGTGCCCATGTGTGCTGTGTGTGTGCTCGCCTGTGCTCACATGTGCCGTGGGCCCATGTACCCACCTGTACCCACGTGTGCTATGTGTGCCACGTATGCCCGTGTGTGCCATATGTGCCGCCTGGGCCCGCGTGTGTGCCATGTGCCCGTGTGTGCTCTGGCGGCATGCACTTGTGCTCACTGGTCTGGGGCCACTCGGCGGGGCAGCTCTGCCTCTGGAGAAGTGGGCCTGGGGGACGCGTCCCGAGTCCCAGGGGCCCCCGTCAGCCGCTGCGACGGCCTGCAGCCCCAGAGCGGCTCCTGGAGTCTCGGCGCTGTGAGGAGCTCCCCGGACAGCAGCGCGGGGCCTGGACAAGGGGCCAGAAGACGGCCAGCTGGGGCCCCGGTTCTGGCGCCTCTGCTCCCTGGGGGGGCCGGCGGGGTCTTCCCGGGGGCAGCTGACATCCCTTCG